TAGACGCACACAGTAAATCGGAAGTACCAGATCTGCTTAGAATAAGCGCGAAGAAAAATCTTTCGCCATTATTACCTAATTCAGATGCAGCGATGAAGCATATACCGAATATTCCGAATGTACCGGTGTACACTCCAAGTAGCAATGTGGCGACAATGGAGAATAAAAACACCAAGTCTGCCTTACCTACATCTACATCTGCCAATGTGCTGGCGGTGTCAACGTCTTCGGTACTGGCGTCGTCTCACTCAACTCAGAGATTAGCGCCTCTCAAGAAGCAGAACCAACCGATTGGATATAAGACGTTGCGCGATCCACCTAAGTCTTGGAATCCTACATTGTCAAAAAACAATTACGTGGCGGCGAAGAATCAGGCGAAGGAGATGCAAAATCAAATTCAGACTTCTATGTCCGAGAGTACGAACAAGCAGATCCCATCTAAACCGGCTAAGATCTTTAAGATGCGAAATATGCCACGATACTTGGGTAATCCCGCATCAGGTGTGAAACCCATGTACGGGATCGCAAGCGACACAAAGGAAAAAGATCAATTGACAACCAATACGAAGTGTACTACTCTCAACATGATGAAGATCGATCCTAAAACTTTGTCACCCATCGTCTCCACATTTAATTCACCGATCGTTTCACCGCCGCTTTATTCGCCGAACGCTCGTAGCTATCAGAATACCCCGTTCTCGCGGGATATATGTCGAAACACCGGCTCACCTATATCACCAAGGAATTCTCCGGTAAACATGTTGTCGACCAATCCATTCATACCATCTCCCACGCCTAACACGAATCCTCGGATCATATATTCTCACTTTCCATCTCCGTTCCCAGACGCAAGCCGATTTCCGAATCCTTTGATACGATCGCCTATCGGCATTCCACCTCCTAGTGCCTTCCACAGTAGTCTACCGCCTTCAATCAACAAACTGTATCAGCGTTCGAGTTATATACCGCAGACTACTGGTTATGCGCCAGTGGTTGGCCAGCCGCCAACAGTACAGAGAATACCACCTAGCACGCATTCATCCTCACCGAAATCACCCAAGGCCTCGTCGCCGAGCTCGATCTCGTCCACGTACAATCTTGGGAAGGCGGAGTCGCAATCACCAGTCACGTCGACGGTGGATAATGTCGCATTACTTCTCTCTAAAAGCGTAACTGTACCAGTGTCAGTACCAGTGCCCGTGTCTGTGTCACTGCAACGAGAACTCAATGCGTTCAATCTATCCAAAACCGGTGGTTTGTCACCAAGCCAAACATCCAATGTCGTTAAAACATCATCCACGATGGACACGAATGATGCCAACGTTGAGACGCAGCTCGCCAAATTGAACTCTTCTTCGCTCAATTTGGCTATTACAGCAAACGCTGAAGTACCCGAGAATTCGAGCCCATCAAGCAGCACTAATGAACGAAAACAAGGTAAAGAAACGGAGGCGCGAAAAGTGCAGGAGACTGCACGATGTATTGAAGACAACTCCAAAGCGAAGCTTATGGAAGCGAAATGCAGTGTAGAAGTTGCTGACAATACCTCGAGCTTGTACGACAAAAAAGAGAAGAATCAAGCGGCCAAAATCAATGGCGATGTTACAATAGAACAATTCGCAAATAAGAAATCTAAGGAAGCTGACTGTAACGACAAGAAGACGACAACAGCAGAGACGACCGAGCGAGAAGGTCATGTAGAACGGTCTTCGCCCAAAGAACGGAATAATATTCCGAAGAGTAATACACAAACCAATGTCAATGACTCGTTAGCAGACAGTACCAAGAGCGAAAATCTCGGCAAGAGCGGTGAGCAGATACAGGGTAATAAATCTGAAGTACAAAAAAATAAGGCGGAGACGTGATCCAGAGAAGATTAATCATCTTTAGATGCGAGTTGTAAAAATCTTACTGCGTATATCAGTTGCATTTAATTTGAGATGACGTGGCTTAAGTGTAAGATCCTGAACAAGCTTATATAGCCCATATTCCGATGTTTACTGCTAGTAATTCTAATGTTTTCAACTGCATGATTGAATATGTGTGTGTATTATATATGTGTATGTATATACATACAACATATGTGTGTGTACATACCACACCACACACATATTTGAATATTTATAAAAACCGTGCTTGACATCCGCACACGTTATGGGAAAAACATCGGAAGATAAGCTATTTCAAGTTGAACGAGTTTTTACAACATGTCCATCGTATGAGCAACAAAAAAGCACTTATGATCATTGTTGAAGATTTCAAGAATGTTAGGAATTTGTACATTTTTGTAAATAGTAATCGTGAAAGATTTAATTATTTTTTATTATAAATGAGTTATATATGATACTACGTTAAATATATTATTTTATAGGTATACGTTGGATGAAATATATAATTATGATCGTCTGAATTTTCATATGCATATCCAACACCGTTATTAACGTTAACAACGTTAATGATGTTAACTCTCCGTTGTTATTATATTTGCATACATGTACACAGATATACGGCGTATCCCACTTCAATTGTGTGTGTATACCGCGCGCGCGCGGTTTTCTTTTCAGTCGTATATTCATTTCAAATAGTTTCTAAATTGATATCTATTTAACGAATGTGACTCTTTGTTGCTTGACTCTTTTTCATCATAATCTTTAACAATTCTATATATATTTCTTATTAAATGTCACACATTTGATTAATTTTATCACATATTATAATTTTATTAAACGGTATTTTAAAATGTATGCGAAATTATTTCTATATGGAAAAATTTTTGTATGAAAAAGAAGTGATGTATCTCGAGTGACGGAAAAAAGTAATATATTTCACAAGTGGGAGGAAGTCTCTACGTCATATTTTTCTTCGTTACACATATTTTATATATATTACAATATAACGAAGTATATATTTTTCACAGATATGGATACAAAGTTATGCACTAAACACTTGGAAAACAGGTTTATCATTAAAGTTATATATTTAAATCAATTATATAATTTGTATATCTCTTAGTGCATATGCTTGCTGTTAATTTGTTAATAGCATATAACGTATAACGCATTATAATATCTTAATAACATAATATGCGTTCTCGTGCATATTAAATGGATGCAAAGTTATTCCTTAGCATTAAGTAACTAAAAATGTGTCGCAATCACTTTCGAGAAATGTAATTATGGAAAAACATGTTTATGAAACGTGTGGACACGTAGTTCTTTACAGTAGAAAAGAGTACCCATACAATGAGCACACAAATATGTATAAAAGAAGTATTAAGTATATAGTTAAGGTAATTAAATTAATAATGTTACCTAAATTTAAATTATACATTTTTATATCACATAAGGTTGATAACAAAAATTTATATAGTCTGCAGCGTTGAATATTTTTGAAAGACCCTTTATTTATTATATTAAAAGAAATTGTACGGGATTGTATTATGTGATGCAATAATGTTTTCGTGAGAAAACTTCATTTCCAATTTTACTATTTTTACGCACTTATACATACAATTTTTATTAATACTTTTTTGACATAATATACTTTTGTGTATAACATTAATGTGTATTTATCATATTAGATATCAGTTAAAGTATGCAAAAATAAAATTGAATTTAAATGTCATTTTATACACTCGAGAACTGACAAATGCTGTTTTGTTTTGATATAGAGAAATTGAATTGCATTTGCACTGAGCTTTCTCTTCTAGATCGACTGTCTGATTAATTGTTGGCAAAAAAAGACAAAGACTACTAGAGAACAAACTCGGTGCAACTGCATACTTATTCACTCGTAAATCTATTCTTTTTAGCTGAACTTACAGTTTATCTTCTCATTTTTTCTAACTCAAAAAAAGAAGAAAGATAAAACGTCCAAGAAGTTAAACTATAAAGAATAAATCTTATGTGTATTGAAATGAACAGCATTTTTGTTTTTCACACTCATTAGTAAGTTATATAAAATATCATTATAATATTCATAATTGTTTTCATATTTAATATGATTCATTTTAAAATTTTTACTTCGGGATTAGTCCGATATCGAAACAAGACTAATATAATTTCAAAGGTAATTTTGAAAATATTCGAAGACTGCTAATGGTAGTGAAATGTCCGAGGCCTTATCCTATCATATATCGAATGATTAATATGGAACAATAAAAATGATAAACTGTATGCGATATAAGTACGACAAAAAATTAGTTGACAATTAAATACTGTGATCATTACGTTACTTCATTCTAGAGATGGAGAAAATATTTTAACAAAGCAAAATTATTAGTCGTAAAGTATAATATTTTTCTGTCTTTCTGTCTTTTCTCTTCCTATTTGTCCACTTTCTTCATTCTAAGTTTTCAAGCTGTCTCTATTGTTTTCTTTCTCACTCTATTTATCTGTATCCATATATATGTATATTTTCATTTTTTAATATATTTAGCGTTTTATTGTCCGATCGTGCGAATTGATGAAAGAGTAAGCGAGCATAATTTGAGAAAAATATCAATAAAATGAAAAATTTTGCTAATTTTAATGATTTTTTTTATGTATGTAAAATTTTATTTGTATATAGTGTACTATGATTCTAAAATACATATTATATATAGTAATAGAAAAAGAATTATTAATTAACATAACTTTATATTTAATTAATAATATAAAGGATTAAACTGTACATTATAATCATAATATTTTTCGTCTAACAAAAAACAAAATTTTAGATAAACACTGGGCTGCAAAACAAAAGATGTATTGTATTTTTAAGCAAATTTTATATATGTGTATGCGTATACATGTATAAATATATGAAAAAAACAACAGTGATTCTACATGGAATTCAAAGATTCTCTTCACTAATAATGCAAAAATATAATTGACTGCACTTACAGAAAACTGTATTATTCTTACAAAACATTATCCTTATATACAAGTTACTACCAAAGCGCAAAGTTAAAAAAGATATTTCTAAACCGTGCATTATAATCAGTGTTATAAATTAGACATTTATATATTAGACATTTTTTCAATATGTCTTATAGCATCCTTTAACTTGTATACTAACTCTTGTAGCTGTTGTACAGTACATGTAAATATTACATGCCTCACTTGATTAGATTCTTTTGTACTTATTCGTATGTTATAAATTGGTATATTAGTAAACCGAATGCTAATCTGTATTAAAGAATAAAATATTTAATTTTTATATATATACAGATTTTATATAATATGATTTACGAGAAATTATTTTCATTTTGTCGAATTACAATACATTATGTGAGGTATAATAATCTAAAATCTAAATAACATTAAAGAATAGTAAATTTACCTTAGCACAATGATGTAAACGCCAATCTATATCCACTATGTGTGGTAAACTATTTCCTGTCAATTCCAATTGAGTCTGTATATTTTGTTTATTGTTTATATATGTACTACATAATGTTTCAATTCTATGTCCATTAATGTGTTCATTATGTAGAAAATGTTTTAAGCTTTCTTCATCATAATTATGTCGAGCTGCCTCTATAAAGAGGCAAGATACATTAGCAACTGCAGCCTTTATCAGATCTGACTTGGATGGATGAACAGTTGTAATACCTAATATAAAAGATGTAATTAATTATAATTTGTATGTCAAATATTCTTATATTTTGAGAAAAATTAAGACTTATTTACTTTTTCCATTGTTTTTAGAAATACATAACATTATAATATCTAATAACTGTAAAAATGCTTCTTCAGGCAAAATGTTGCTATTTTGGATGCTTGCCAGGCCATCGACAATTTCTTTTGCTAATTCCATATCTTATGATATAATATTAATACACTTTTTAATACACATAAATACAAATATCTTAAAAACAACTACTACATTAACAAAAATAAACTAGTTTATGCACATGTACTTAATCCCACAGGTTTTTTTTAAATCACAGTATTGATTGATAATCAGTTTCTAATGATTTAATTTTAACTGATAAATTTGTCTAAAAAATAAATAAGATAAAATTTATATTAAGATTAATATATGTTAAATATTTGTTTACAATATGTAGTTTCATACTTGATATTTGTAAATATCATAAAAGATGTTAAAATTTTTTTGTTCTCATTTTTTGATGCTGAACTATACAATAGCTATTTATTTGTGTTAAAATGTCAAAACATAATATGTCTTTTTTTTTCGGAAATATTTAAATTGAATATCTTCAACACTTTTAATTATTATATATTTGATACTAAAATTCTTACTAACCTCCACTATGGAGGTTAGTATGAGTTCATAGGAAAGACTATAGAGACACCATACGGAATAACTGTGAATTACAGATCCATATTTTTTCTATTACTACAAAATTATTTAAAAATGTAATACTTATTATGATATTTATAATTAACAACTTTCAGGATTATTTGTATAAAAATTTGTTAAAATTTACAGTTATATTACAGCGCAAATAACATTTTTATTATAATAATTTTTAAAAATTAAAATGCAAAATTTTGCTTTCTACAAGCACGATTAATGAATAGAATAGAATATTTATTTACTTCAGCGTACAAAATAGCCAGCAAGAAGGGGACTTGGTTTACAATATTTCTTATCATATATATACGCATCCGTCCTAAGTCTTACTCTTATTATATATTATTATTATTATTATTACTACTGTATCTCTATTCCTATTCACAGCTGATTAAGATTGTGACTCACCATGTTTTACCATCACTCCTTGTCTAAACTCCTCTCCTTAATACGCCTTATCTCCTAAACTATTTAAATCTATTTCTGCCTCTTTACCCTTTTTCCTCGTTCTTTCTATCTATCTATTTCTTCTTACCTTTCCTATTGCTCCTTGACAAGCACAATTAATGATACAAAGGATAAATAAAAATGTTTCGTAAAATTTTTTTCAAAGCAATAAAAAATAAAATAAAAGTACGTCACTTTTTTCTAAATTTAAAAGGAAATTTGTAAAATATAAATTTCTCTCTAATGATAATAAACATAATATAATAATTACCGCTTTAAAATTTGCAGAGAATATAAATACATTTTACAAAAAGAGTAAAAAAATTTTGAAAATAAATATACTCTAGTAAAATAAAAGAACATACACAATGTTATGTAGATAACACTTTATTAGAATAGAAATCAAATTTCCAAAATTGATCTGGTACATTAGTGCAGCGAACTGCTCGTACGTCCTCATCACTGTGCAATTTAGAACCATCAAGACAGAGTCCAGTTTCTACATGTATTATTCTGCCGTCCTATGATTAAAACTCGTCATTACATAATATAGTTTTTAATCATTCATGAATTATATAAAAATGCTTGTTAATATTAAAAATCAATACCTTTGTTAATATCCATTCCTTTCCGCTTTTTTCATTGTTGCAGTCAGACATTTCAATTTGTGTATATGGTCTTGAATCAATATCTAATACTCTTCCACAGGTTTCTTCTCTCCGTAATTCGCCAGACTTGCTCAACGAGAAAAACTAAAAATTGTCCAAATATCACTAATTTCTATAAATTTAAGCTCGGATAGAAGTACGTTAATGTGATCTGTACTGATATTTACATACCTGACTTGGATATAACTTAGTGTGACAATTATATAAACCTAAATTATACGGTTTATCTTCCTCATGTTGCAAATTGTCTAAACACAGTCGTCTATTGCGCAATCTGACACGACCATAAGCTATTGCATTTTCATCAGGAATAAATTTTTCTGGGTAAACATTATTAAGATACCACTTGAAACTTTTACATTTGAGCTTTTTCCGCAATTTTAAACGTTCACTTATATCTCCAATGAGTTTTAGATTATCCTGTGGATTTGATTTATATGTATAACTGCAAAAAGATTTTAATCACGTAATGTCTGATCTTACCTTGAATTCACTACGATGAAGTAAAAATAATCTTTTATATTTATCCATCCATACAAATGCTAAACGAGCAGTATTTATTCCGTGAGTATCTTTATCATTCGGAAATTTGTATGGATGAAAATTTCGGAATATGTGGCCAACCCGAGAACAAGGAATGATTTCTAGTGTACCACCGCATTGCCAAATCTGTTGAAGAAAATAAATTTATATCAAGAATATAAAATATAAAATTTATGACATACATGCTTGTAATTATAATTATACTATGAACTTATTAAATACTTAAAAAATTTTCACTCACTCGGAAAGATATTTCCAAGTTTTCGCCTCCCCAACCATCCATCTTATCATCGTAACTACCGATTTCCCAAAAGTATTTTCTATTAATAGCAAACAGGCCACCTGCCATAGTAGGAGATCTAGTTGGTGATATAGGAGAAAAACGTGATTTAACTTCATGTTTCTGAATATTTATCCACGTGAAATGTCCTGACCATGTAAAACCACCAACTTGAAAGAAAAACGCTTCATTATCGTGGAAGTATTCTAATGTCTCCTCAGAAATGTTATCAATTATTGGCATTAGTACAGCAGTTTTATTATCCTTTATTCGTTGCAGCAAAGGCTGTAACCTGGATTATGTTAAATAGTATGTATATTAATAGTTTTTTTTATATTTTAATAATTTTAGGATATAAATAAGATATTAAAAAATAGTATCTTCTAGTTAACTTGATATCAGAATTACCAGTCTTTAATAACTTCACAATGTGCATCCAGGAAAACAAGAACATCGCCTATAGCACTTTTAGCCCCATGAAGACGAGCACGTATCAATCCTTGTCTATATGGTAACCTCAGTAGCTTTACTTTGGCAGGTAAACGTGTTAAAAGATAATAATCCAATTGCCCCTGAAGCTCTTCTATAAATTAATACACATAAAAAATATATTTTACATACAATATTAATTATTTAACATATTGCATTCTAATAATATTAAATAATACATCATTTTGTTATGTAATAATTATGTAAATATTATTTTATAGAAAAAGTACCTTGCGGGTATCATTGCTAGACTTAAAATGATGCCCGAGATACATCTTATGTAGCAAACATATATTTTTAAAAATCACTAATATGTTAATTATATTAATATTAATCTCAATACCTTCTTCACTATGATCATCCACTAAAATAATTTCTTTTAACAGATTAGGTGGAGAACCTTTCAAGACACTATGTACTGTGCGTAATAGAACACTCCATGGTTCATTATAAAAAATAATTATTATACTAGCACTTGGTAATAATTTATCATATGTAACATTCGCGCATCTGCAATACAAAGTCCACTTAAAAATATAAAGTTCAAATAAATAAAAAAATAAAAAATTCAAAGAATATTTTATACACACAGAGTCACATATAATTTATATTTATATCAAAATAATCTTCTCAAACGAGTTATTCTATATATATTAAAGTCTTACAGCGGGTTGCGTACATCTGGTAATTTTCTAGTTAATGATATCTTATTTGACAGGATGACATTCAACGCTTTTTTTGCAAGTGCTGCTTCACCTAGAATCTTCTCTTTTCCATATAAAAAAGCAGGTTCCCCATTGTTCCCAAGACCAGGTACAATATCATGTTCAAAGTTTGATATTTGTTGCTCATACCTTACAAAATATCATTTTGGTCTAATATCGCATTAGACAAAATATTGTTATTTTAACAATTATTTTATTAATATTACATCACAGTCTAGTATATTTTGATTCAATAAAAAACAAAAAAGATAACTACGTAAGATTTATAGATAAATAAATTGCAATTACTAGAGAAAGGAGTATCAAACAAATTTACCTCTCTATCTGTAATCTTCGTAACGCAACGTCCACATCTTGCTGTCTTTGTGAGTTATTACTATTTCTTAGAAATTCAGAATGTTCCTTAGAAATCCTGGGATTGTCATTAGTACGAAAGAATTGTTTAGCAATAATTAAAATACCAATTATGTACAACGTGCAAAATGACAATTTCAGCAAAGACTTGCGGCGAGTGAGCATCATTTTTTAAAAGAGTATACCATCCTGACAGTTAACAGATAATTGGTATGCTGTAATTGTGTAGTTATTGTTGATAAGGATATTACCAGTTAGGTTATGATGGAGCAACACTTGTCAGACGTTTGAGGTATCGCCTGTTATATATTTCATTCATATCACGTGCACATCTGCAACAGGTGTGAATTACAAGTTTAGTGTAAAAACATTACTGCGACCCACTTCGTGCGCACATTTGGAAAGTATTGTATTAATGCAGTAATAATGCTACATATGTTGTGATATTAATGCAACGTACTGCGAATACGCTTGCTCGTTATGAATGTAAAAAAAGAACGGAAAAGAGGAAAAGGTTAAATTTAAATATGTATCAGTGTCCATAATGGAACTGCTCCAACCGGTTGTACATTTAATATACATGTATATATCTATCGCTCTCTCCTTTCTTTGTAAGTTCGCAGAATAAACATATGGGGTGGGTGATATCAATTACTAGATAGCTAAATCTATTGAAAACAGATTTTGCAAAACGACTGCTGCAAATCTTGTCAGCATAGCAAGCCAAGTATAACAAAATCTGCTGAAGAAAAAATATCTAATAACATTGTATAAATCGAGTAAAATCTGTGCTATTTCATATATTTAAGTAAAATAGCCTAATAAATAAAATGACAATTAGAAGATGACAGTTTCTATTAACAATCTTTTACGTATATCAAAATATTAAAGGCAAATTCTACTCTACTGATGGAACGGGCTTAATTAGAAATTTTCATCAATTTGTCCTAATTTTCTTCTATTGATATCTACTAATAAATTACAAGCATGCTATTAACGTTTTGCTCACTAAAAATCTAAATAAAATTTCTTTGCTCCGTTATACTGCAAAGATTTTGTAAAATTCTTACATAGAATTAATACTTTTTACATTTTATTGCACAACAGTTTTGTAAAAAAAAACTCAATACATTATTTATGTACATATACGAATTAAATTAAATTTGTGTATACAGATTTAGTAACAGTAAACATATTAAAGCAAAAATACCATAACTGTGCATCAAGTAATCATTTGAATCACTGAATGTTTTTTTATGACAGTAAACTATTTGGTTCATCTAAAAAGTCAAGTTTTCCTCAATCAAAATGTTAAGGAAGAAATTATTATCTACTGTAATTTTCCAATCTTTTATATTGCTTTTGTAACTAAACTTGAAATTCAAGTTAGAAGCAAATTTTAACGGAAATCAATTTAAAAAAGAATATATATTTCTTATCTATTTAGTTATTTCTCAAATTTAATTTTTAAAAAATCCTTTTGATTATATTTATAATTCGAAAATTATTGAAGTTTTAATATTTTCGACAAGGAAAAATCGATACTAGTTTAATCGAAAAATCTAATATCAAAATAATATCTACGATGATTTTGTAAGGATATCCTTATAAATAAACTATTTATCTACATAAGGAAGATTAAACAATTACAATATTCTAAATTATTCTACTAATTACATTTTTTCCAATTTATTGTCAAGATTAACATTGAGACATTAGAATGTCTTCTGTACATAATATTAACAGTCCCGTCTTCCCCAATTTCTTCCCAGAAATTTAATAAACACTACATCATGCAAAACGCATACAAATAAAACGAAAGTAAAAGCGACAAAAATCAAGGATCTTCAGAATTAATAGATCTCTTTGTATCATGCATTTTTTTCTTTTTTGTGGAAGAGAAAAACTTTTCAATTTCGAAAAATGATTTGCCCAAAGTTTCAGGCAGAAAAAAGTATATAAAAGCTGCGCCTGTTAAAGACATGAAGCTAAAAAAGAAAAAAATGCCTTCGATGGTCATGCTTTTTAAAATGTACGGATAGCTCTTTATAACAGCAAACATGATTATATAAGCAAAAGAAACCATGACACCTCCACCAATACCGCGTATGTACACAGGTAACAATTCTCCGATCAATGTCCATGGTATAACTATAAATCCAAACGAACCAGTGCAGATGTAAGCTAATACGAAGAATAGTAATAGCCACTTTTGATCCACCATGGTTTCCTCTGTATTGCCATTTTCATCATACGATAAGGCAAAATGCATATACATTCCAGAAAGAAACATAGAAATAGTCATTCCAATCCCACTCATGATGCAAAGAACTCTTCTACCATATTTTCTACTACAAAAAACTGTTACTATACTTATAACGAATCTAATGATACCCAACATAACGAGTGCACCGTGTTCATTAAAATTACCAAATGTTCCACCCATTTCGCGAAAAACAGAAATAGCATAAAATATGATCACATAAGAACCAGATAGTTGTTGCAACAAAAATAGTGAGAAAAGTATCAGCATTGGCTTATAAGCTTCTGGGGATGCAAACATGTGGTAATAATTTTTTACAGATACTATAATATTTTTTGATGCTTTATCATTCACTACATGGTTTCCACAAGTCTCCATGATTCGCAAATATTCTTCCTCATAAATCTAAAAACATTTATTTGTTGATATTCTAAATATACTCTGAATAGATATTGGAAAATTTGCTATATCGTACTCACTGTTTGCCTTCTGTTAAGTCGCTTCAAACTGTGTTTCATTTTGCAAATTCGTTTTTCATCAAGCATACCATTTTGAAAACATACGAGCCAGTAAGGACTTTCAGGTACAAAGTAAAGTATAAAGAAAATAAAACACTCTAATACAAAGAAAACTATGTTCATCTTGCGCCAATCTAACATTACAGCTAAACAACAGGGAATTAAAATACCGAACGACACAAACACAGAAGTAAGGCATAGAAGCATTGGTCTGATTTGTGGATGTGTAATTTCAGATATATAAACCAGACCAACAGTTGTTAAACCTGCTGAAATTCCAGCTATAACTCGTGCCACATAAATAGTAATTAAGGATTTGGCAAATATCAATGAAACCCATGATATTGCTGCAGGAATACAAGATAATAAACAAACTATTTTGCGTCCAAATTTATCCATAAGAGGCCCAGAAATGAGAGATCCTATTGGCAATGTTATTGTAACTAGACTTGCTGTAGAACAAAATAAATGACAAATAATAGATAATATTACTACAATTCCAGTTTTCTACTATCATTCTCCTAATATCAAATAGCACTACAAATAGCAATTCTAGTCTCTTTTTTATTAAATAATTCATAACATATTCCTTAAGCATAAACATAAAATTTTATCATAAGACATACCTATCCAAGATGCTTCACTTTCAGTTATTTTCATATCAACATTATCTGAGTCTAACCCATCTACTAAAATGGTACTGTAAGCCATGTTTATACCACTTTTTATAGTCATACAATGAATTATACAGCTTGCAATAATCTAAAAGATATGCAATTGTTTATTTTAATCAATCATCTTGTATTGTACTTATTTACATTACTTATAAAGTATCTGTATATATATATATAACTATATTGTATTTATTAATTTATTGCTGTACCTGTATCTATGCATATGTATATATGTGTATGTATGTAAAGATATAGAAAACTTGCCTGTGGCGTTATGTCTGCCAATGTAATTTTCTCTTTTGAGTTTCTATTTGTTATTCGTGGAAGAAAATTACTACAAAAAATTAAAATTTTCTATTATTCTTAAAACAAATTAGAGACAAAATTAAGTATATTCAAACTTAAACATACAAATAATTTTTACAGATAATTTTTGAATTGTATTGTATAATAAAAAATATTAATATATACTTATATTGCAAAATTCCATTTACTTTACCTGACTTCATTGTGAAGTTTATCATCGTGTTCTGTAACCGTGTGTGTTTTTTCTTCAATAATTTTCATTTTAAATAACAATAATAATATCAAAATTGGCTAAATAAGATATTTCTGAAATATAAAAATAAGCAGTAAAATAATAAAACACGATATAAATTCATTAGTAGATTATATAAAATTTCAAAAATTGTAAAAATGCAAATACAAATGACATTATTAAATATTTAGAAAATAATAATATTAGCATATTAAAATCATGATTAAAATTATAATTAAAATGCATCTATTAAATTAATAAATTGATATCTCACAAATTCTTTTTAGAAATATATGTCTGAATGATTACATACACTAATGCAATAAAATTTTTATACTAATAGAATATATATATAATTATGGATATATTTGCAAAACGAATTATATGAGATATACCCATACTAACAAAAATAAACTTAAAATAATAATTAATTCTAATTGATTTTGATACTATGATATAAAAGAACTTACGCTTATTTATGATAATATTTACACAAAAAATGGAAAAATATAAAAGAATCTTCATAAGTGCAGTAGCATGTTTATCGATATACTTATTATCGGCCAATTCGGACCGATATAATATTTATATACAAATAATTTCCTCCGTTCTAGATTGCCTTTAAACAACTCTCTAAAGTAAAATAATCTTTCTTTACTCAACTATTTATATTGTCATGTGATCATATTAAAATGATAAAACCAAATAAGTCATATAATCTACTTCCAAATAAACTATTCGTACTGGCAAAAAACATCTAAAAGATCACTTTTTTTGTGTAGGACTAATTTCCACACACTAACGCCAACTGAAAAAAGTCTATATAAATGTAAACTACATAGAATCACTTTTCAGCTGATACAATACACATTTTGGTGCACTTAGATGCGTCGATAATTATGATGACAGAATAAAATGCATTTTATTATAACTAATGTATATGAATAATATATTATTGTTTTGTAATGCAATATATATATATATATTGCATACCTATTTATGGAACTTCTAAATGTATATAGTAATAATAAATTTAAAACCAGGACATTTGGCGTTGGAAAATTTATATCAACAGTGGATAATACCAATCATCGGATATCTACGTTTGCGCAACTACGCATGCGTGAAATTGGTCTCTAATTTATACATATATATTCTACATACGTGACATATCAGTATCAGTGACCATCAGTGACATATCTATCAAAAAAAGGAGGATTAAGGACGATTATTTATTCTTATAGGAGAAGTTGTATGTTCTATCACTTTTTTGTTTTAGTTAAATGAGCATATAATCTCTCTTAAAATTCATATGAAAATGCGGATAACGTAAAACGATAAAACGTAAATAATCTTACACGAGTATCAGTAAAAATATTATCTTTCTTAACTCTGCATATATAACATAATGTGTAACGAAATAAGGGAACGAGCGAATTATTTTTACATTTATTTATATTTTACATAATTATAAGAAATCTCTCTCTCCATATATTGTTTAAATAAGAAAGATCCTATCGATCAATATGAATTAAGTGATGGCACCTGCAAAAGATAGATGGATTAGACGTTTTATAATTACTGAAATAAAACGACACAAAAAGGGATTTACAATCTACAGAGTCACTTCTATGGTATGTATATGTATACATGACAATATTTGTCTTTTCCTTTTAGATTTTGATATCAAATTTCTTTTTTTTCTTTATTTTTTTAGATATTTCTGAAATCCTCTCATGAAGAAGTGTCAAAGGTGTCTGTATGGAAGCGATATAATGATTTCAAAAAACTTCATGCAGAACTTAGTCACTTACACAAGCGTTTTGGAACAAAAGAGACTTTCCCACCTTTTCCCAAATCAAAATATTTTGGTAGATTTGAAGCTGAGGTCATAGAGGAGAGGAAGAAATATGCTCTTAAGTTTTTGGAATTTGTGGGACGATACTCATACTTATACTCAAGCGATATCTTTATAACATTCTTTGAAACTAGTCATGCAGATAATTATAGTAATGATTGTGCACATTCCTTGAGCTCAGACACGTCTGAAGATGATCATGTTGCTTTGAGTGATTCTGTGTTTGTAAACAATGATATAGTGCAAAGTACCTTTGAAATTCCATGTTCATTGAAATCATCTCATGTGTTAACAAATTCATGTTCCTCCCTGTCACATGTTATTTGTGCAAACAAAAATGAATTTGCATATCGGAGAAAGAATGAATCTCATGACAGTATTAATTTACAAAATGCTAACATTAATAGAAAAGAAAGCTATAAAACAGCAAAATTGCATACGCAAGACACTATTACCAAACATTATGATGCACATCAAAGCAAAAGTTTTGATAATAATGACATGGCAACACTCAGTGATGTACCAGGATTTGATAATCTGAACAACAATATCAGTAAATCCTTTCTAAATTATAATACACATTCTACATATTCTGTAACATTACAAGAAGAGATAAATGATTCTCAAGCACAGCCAAATTCTACACAGTATCTTTTGATAGCTGCTGCTCACATAAGTGCAGCCTTCAAACATGAATCTATAGCAGAGTATGAGGAAGCTTTCACACAATACAAACTAGGAATATCGTGTCTAATAAATGGTGTACAATTTGATCCGGACAGTTCAAGGGCACCAGGCATAAAAGATAAGATATCAAAATATTTAGCACGAGCTGAACAGTTGTATAATGAACATTTAAATTGTACCATCTCCAAAGTAAATAAACCAATAGCCGAGCTTCAATATTATAAAGTGCTTAAAATAATGAAATCTGTGATGCTTGTAACAGATATACGTGCAAATTGTAAAAGAATAATTAAGGTAATTTAGCTATCATATATGGTTTTTTTATATATAAATGTTATTTTTTTTTAATTATATGTAAAAAGCATTAATATAAATTTGGAATAATATAATATATACTTGGATTATACATTAAATATAGTAATATAATAAATAGTTTAAGATATTTTCAATTTATAATTATAATTCATAATTTTTCAGACTGTAGAAAAATCTTGTATTTACGAGGATAATATAAGCAATTATGTGTTACACAAACAAGTACCTTATATGGTATACTTATACGCATGTATTGAAACTGAGACTACTATATTTTTAGTCCTACAATATGCAAGGTATGTTATCATAAATTTATTTGTAATATATTATATAATATTAATTATATGTATTTTACATTATGTTATAGTTGTGGAAGATTATGGGACTTCATAAAACTACATTATAAAGAATTTGACAGTCCATATGATGCAATTTCAAATCACACATATATAAATGAATATGTCAATGGAGAGGTTAGCAGCAATGAAAATATTTATGGATCAAACAAAGTCGATACAATTATAGAAAATAATAGAGTACAGGGAAATCGATGCACAATAGATGTTCAAAGTGAAAGCTATATGGAAATGCCTACTACACAATTATTAGAAAAATCGCAAGAATTATTACAATCCGTTAATGCAACATTAAAGAAAAGCAATTCAATTGCAAATCGATTAAATAAGTGTAAGGAATTGAGACATTCAAGAAGCACACTATCACTGAATGCAGAAGCCGTTATGCAGATCCCTCAAGAATCAAATCTTATGTTATCTAATGTTTATCACAATAAATCACTAAATACTAGTAATATGAAAATAGATATTAATGTTGCAGAGAATCAGTCTTTGACAAAAGACTTCATAAAGAATAAAGATTTGAAAGGCAATAATTCTTTATTAATGAACAATAACGAAAATTCAAACGTGTCGAGAAAAATTTGTGCATCTGTCTTAAATGGAAGTTGTGCAATTAGCGAATCACTAAAAAATAATAAAATTGACAATTTATTATGTAACAATTCTACTCCAAAAACTATTTCAATGCAGAATATCTTGACCAATAATGTATTACAGATCTGTGAGAATAATAATACTAAAAGTATATCCGATCAGATAAATTCATCAAATATTAATTATAGCATTGATGAAACACAATACACGACTAAAGAAAATAATATAGATGAACAGGAGTTTTGGCAAATACCGGAAGCTGTAATTCGGACATGGGCAGCTGAAATCCTTTTAGCTTTAGAAGCACTTCATCAGCAAAATATCATGATTCTCGATTTTAAACCTGATAATATTCTTCTGGATGACGCAGGACATATTCGCCTTACTTATATTGTACCGCAACATAACGTGGAATTATCTAAACTAACATATCCATATTCGTCGCCTGAAACAGTAATGTTTTCTCCGACCATTCCTGTTACATTCGCTACAGATATTTGGAGTTTCGGAGTTATTTTATATGAACTACTTACCGGCATTGTATGTAGAAAATTGGACATTAATTATAAAAAAAATTATATACTTCTCACACCAAAGTTTAACTTTTATTTCACAGATATTTATCAAAAGTCATCCAGGATCGTTTCATTCACATTCCACAATTAACATTCCTAGCAGATTATCGAAAAGTGCAGGAACTTTGTTATGTGGCGTAAGTTTATATTATTCTGCCGTACTTTTTAATATTAATCTCACGATTTTTAATGTTTAAGAAATAATAAAATTTTTATATTATTTATAAATTATGATTGCAGATGTTAAAATATCATCCAGAGGAGCGACTGACGGTAGATGAAATGAAACGTCATTCGTTTTTCGCAGGAACTGATTGGTTAAATATGATTTCTTAAACTTAGCTCTTACTAGGGAATTCATAAATTTTATACTTATTATAATTGTATAAATATTTATTATGTAATGAAGATACACTGACTTTTTAGATGAACAAAATGTGTCTCAATATAAAAATAATTCTTTACTTAAATATACAATAATATTAAAACACTGAGTTTGTTAAAATCTTAAAACTTATGTTATATAATTATTTAGATCTTACTTTTTCACTTCTACTTATTGTTGACATACCATCAATAAATCTAGTTGTAAATAAAACATTGGCATTGTTGAACATACCATTCTTTAAGGATACAACAATAAATTGTGAATGTTTAAAATGTCTTTTTAACATTGTGCCTATATTTTCTGTATGTGAAAGATCTAGGGCAGCGTCTACTTCGTCCAAAATATAAAGTGGTGCAGGTTTGTAAAGAAGCATAGCTAAGACTAATGATAAAGCGACTAAGGATCTTTGACCACCAGATAATTCTCCTAATGATTCTTTCCAGACACCCGAAAATCCAACTTTAACTTCTAAACCGTCTGTTATCGTTTCATTTTCTGGTGGTTGTAATTTAGCCTCAGCTCCCGGTAATAAAGTACTAAATATAGAACCAAAATCCTTGTTTACCTAATAAAATACAAAATTGATATATTTCGGACATTGTGGATTTCTATATTACAATTGCAATATTTTTATCTAAGTATAAATAAGTTTGTTTATAATATATATTAAATTAAAATACTATAATTTAAATATAAAATTTATCATATAAATATAAAATAAACATATATAAAATGTATCAAGTTCAAAATATCAAAATTTTGACTATACGATTTGATATAATGGAACAAATTTCTCAAAGAAAAATTATACCTGTTTCCAAGCTTTAAGCAAGGTTTGTTTCTTCTTTTCATCCAAATGCTTAATTGTCTCAAGAATTTTATTTTTATCATTCTCGACTATTCTTTTCTTTTTTAATGTATCATTATATTGTTCTTCTTCTTTATCAAGAAGATTGATTGCTCGCGTATTTATATTACGACTTAACTTTTCACGCATTGTTTCTAAATTATGTACTTTTTGTTCCGTTTCTTCTGGTTTATTAACTTCAAAATCATATATACCACCTAAAATATATAACACATGATATATAATATGTATATCAATACATCAAGTTAATTAAACGTCTTTGACTGTAAATACCTTTTTTCCCAAAATAAGATTTTTCTTCCTCAATCCACTCGTACTTCTTTGTGAGTTCCAAAACTTTCTGCTTACATTCCGTTGCACCTTTTTTGATATCATTAATTTCATGATTTAATTTTTTTATATCCAATTCTAGATCTTTATTTTGTTTAACAATATCTTCTTTTCTTCCTATTAACTTTTGTATATCTTTATTATGCTGATTAATAATATCTTTCTGCTTCTTAATATTATTCTGCAATTCTGTAACTTTACTTTTGGTTTCTTGCAATTGCTGTTGAAGAGTTTGTCCTTTCTCTTCAAACATATTGTTTTTCTCATTTATTTGAAGCAATTGTTCATCACCATTTTCAATACTTTTTTTTAATTCTTTTATTTCTAATTCAAGTGTTTCCGATTCTTGTTCTCTCTTTTGCCATTCTTTGCGACTTTGTTCCGATTTTTTCTTTAAGATATCTAATTGGTTCTCAGCTTCCTTTAGTTGTTTTTCACGAATATTCACTGCATCCTTTAATTGAATTTCTATGTCTTTTGCACGTTTTGTGCTTTCCTTTTCTAAGTTCTTTGCTGCAGCCATTCGTTGTGTAAGTTCTTCAATAGCTGCATTCAGAGAATCCACCTGAAAATAAATATAAACATACATACACATGTATATATTATATAAATGAAAAAAAAAACAAGTTTAGAGCTAGGCATCTAGTTTATATATAAAGTAAACATTTCTTGCTTATTTTCTATATTTACATTTAAATATAATTATTAATGTATATGTATATATACATATACATATATTTGTGTGTAATTTGTAATATATTGAGATGATAACCGCTTTGTCCATGCTTAATAATTAAATGTATAACGTTGCGTTTTTTCTGAGGGCCTCAATATAAGGCCGAAACATGTTAAATTTTGTTCATGAACTATTCGACTAAATTTTTCGTTTATTTCTTTTTATATATATTATATTATTGTAATGTGTTTAAATTTTATATGAATATATTAACGTTGAGATGATATTCTTTATTTCTTAATGTTGACTCTCATTTGCCTTTATATCTTTGTTTTTATTTGTTGTATCGAGAGTCCTTTATTTTACACTATTTTTTATATTTGTGTGTACGCGCGTATATATACATATAAAATATTTATAGATTATATATATACCTCTTCCTTGATTTTATGATAACTTGTTTGTTGCAATCTCTGTTGTATCATACTGATTTCATAAGTTAATAGATCATATTTTTGTTTCAATGATGCATATTTTTCTGCAGTTTTTGTAACATTTGATAAAGCACTTTCTATGTCTTTTAAGAGTTTTTCTTTATGATTCAATTCATTCCTAAGTGCTTTCAATTCTTCCAGTTTTAATAAAACTGATCCAGCTTTCGCTGGGGCACCGCCAGATAATGTACCAACTGGATCAAAAAGATCGCCTTGCAAAGTAACACACTTTTTCATAATGTTTTCATGGAAAGCTATTTTTTTGGCAGTTTCCATATCTTTGCATACAAATATTTGACCAAATATCCAGGTCATAGCTGGTCTAATTTCACTTGGAAAATCTATAAGAGACAATGCGGGTTGAACATTCTCTTTTCCAACCATTTTTTCTGCCAAATTAATGGTTGATTGATCCATATATTTACCCGCTACTCGATTGAGTGGGATAATTGTAACTCGTTGTTGTAATTGTCCATGTTGGAGAAGTTTTTTGCTTGTGGTTTCAGTGTCAACTACTACATTATAAAGCTAGAACATAATTATATTCATGAAATAAAGGAGATTTTTTTTTTAAATATGTAAATTAAAAAAATGTTATAAAATACCTTTCCACCCGCAGCAACTTCCAAGGCATATGCAGCCCTTTTATCTTTTAAATCAATTAAGTTACATATGATACCTTTTACAGATTTTGCGTTAAAATTAGGTTCAGGATCCTGATATTGGAACCTCGTTCGAGGGTGTCTCATCTCAAATTGATCTAGCTTCTCACGCAATGGTTTTATTTCTTCAATTAATTTAGTTTTTTGATTTATTAAATCTTCTGAATAACCATCCTTATAATTCAATTTTTGTAATTCATTCTCCAAGCAATTTAATTCCTTTTCTTTCTTTTCCAAGTCCATACAATATTTTTTATATTCATTCTCAGTATTATGCATGTCTTTTTGTTTTTTATTCAACTGTTGCCTGTTGTGATTTAGTGTCATTTCACATTGTTTAAGTTCGGTTTGTGCTTGTGTTGCGCTTTGCTTGGCATTTATTAGCTGTTGTTCTAAAGTTGCGTTTTCGCCATCTTCACTTTCTAATAGACCTGCACTAATCTTCTGATACTTTTCTTGTGCCTCTAATACTGCGTTACTATCTTTCTGGCACATTTCTTTCAAATTCTGAAAAAGTCCTCCAACTTTTTCCAATTCCTTCTCTTTTAAGATAAGCGCATTTTTATCATCTGTTATATTAATTTTTATATGCTCCATTGTTTTTTTCACAGCCTTAATATTTTCCTTATTACTGTTTACTTCAGCTGATAATTTGCATTGCTTTTTCTCTTGTTCTTGTAGCTCCTGTTCTAAAGTCTCCAACATAGCGCTTTTTTCCTGTTAAAAAATTATTTAAAAATAAATGACAGTGTAAAGTATTTTTTTACATTATGTATTTAACATTATTCATGCTAAATTTACAACTATTATTAAAGATTATACTATTAAATATATAAATGTTGATATATAAAAACTTTAATACAACTAAAATCATGCAGATGTATAGTTTTAGTCCTAAGAACAATATTGTATTTTATTAGAGAGCTTTTATATATACATATATATATATATATATATATATAAAACACTCTAATAAAATACAATATTGTTATATATATTATATACAATATATATATTTGTTCTATAAGATATATAATGTAGTTGCTAAAGAAAGAATAAATACAAGAGAAATCATACCGCTTCTTTTTTCTTTATTAATTCATCATATTTTGCTTCTATGTTCTTAATTTCTTCCTCACCAGCAGCTATTTCTTCTAACTTTGAATCTATTTTGTTTTGTACAATCTTGACGTTTTCTTCCATCTTTTGACTTTTGTTGAAAGTAGCAACATATTTCCATGCAAGATGAATTCGTTTGCAGTGTTCAAGTTCTCTTTCTATCCCCTGAAATTGTACATATCTTGTTCTCTCTTCTTTTAACTTGTTTAATCTTGGACCTATTTCTTCTCTCAAAATCTAAAAAATTTATAACAAATAAATATAAAAGAAAGAAATCAGTTAAAAAAATGTATATTAATAACATACAGTATTAATTTCTTTTAATTTACTATCTTTTTTTTCTATTGTAATTAGTGCAGATTGTTTCTTCTTTTCATACATTTTTGTCCCTGCTGCTTCTTCGAGCATAGACAGAATTTCTACTGGCTTCATATTTAACACTTTTGTTATTCTACCTTGCATAATTAAAAAGTGTGGATTATTCACATTTAACTGGACAGAACAAAACAAATCCTGTACACGTTTATTTGGTGCATTTGTCCCATTGATCATATACTTATTTTTACCACCGATCACTACTTGTCTTGTAATTACAATTTCTTCATGTTGTTCATAACCCATAGGTGATAATTCTGTGTTATGATTATCGAATGTTATCGTAACACTAGCTTTCTTTATTCCTGCTTGACCTGATTTGTATACCAAATCTTGCAAAGAAGTAGCACGTACCTATATTAAATTGAAACAATATTGTTAGTAAATACAAAAGGCTATTAAGAGTCAACGCTGTTAGCAGTGCGTAAAAATATAATCTTAAAATCTATAACATAGATATTATGTCGAGATAATAATAGCCTTTTGTATTTACTTAAATTTTTTGTATTGTTTTTGAAACATATAAGAGTCTATAATTCAATTATATTATTAATTTATTAATATTGTTAGTAGTATAATTTAGCAAATAAATCATTTACAATTTAACAACTATCACTGTAGTGTATAAATTAAATAGCAATAATTTTAGTTTAATTATTTAATATGTATATAAAGAATTTAAACATGATACACAAAAAGTTACTGTTATATAACAAGATTATAATTTTAAATATTGTTCTTATAAAACAATATATTACATTACATTACAAAAGAATGAGGCTATGTTCGAACATGTTGCAATGTTATGATAAATATCTCATAAAGTATAAAATAAATGCATACAATAAATGAAATTTACCTGGCCAAGATTCGTAATACCCAAAACAAAACATATTGCATCCAAAATGTTTGATTTTCCGCTACCATTAAATCCTGTAATAGCGTTGAATTCTTTGTCAAAACCATTTATTTCGATTCTTTTGCCGTAGGATTTAAATCCTTCCAATACAATCGATTTAATATGCATCTTTAATCAATAGCATAGCAAAATATCACGACACGATCAATCACAATATACTACATTTGTTTCGATATTAACAACAGTCCTTCGGAGTTCGGACTAGAAGATTCAAACATTTCAAACTGTTTCAAATTATTAAGGGATCTTTTCATGCAACGCGCAACGGAGCAAAGCAGTCACCGATTGCTTTGTTCCGATTGGTTGAGAAATAATCAGCGTTATAATCACCAATCAGCGTTTGGTGTCAAAGCGCTGTTGCCCGTATGAGGATCCGGGCTAACAGCGAGCGCTCTTTTCTGCTGAATGCGCCCACTAACGATCACTGAGCGCTCAATGAGTTCTTTGTACCTGTTTGGTCTATATTTTTAGATCTAATGGAATATGCCAATTAGATGTAAGAGCTCACTGAGCGCACCCAATGGTGCTCACTGTTATTGGTATATTCTTTTAGATCAACCAATAGCAGCGAGCGCTCGCAGATCTGCTCCGCAACAGTTGAGTTTGCTGAACGCGACCATTGTCTGCAATGTGCGTACTACCGACTACGTGGTGTGACATCTTCTTTTTGTACAACTAATGTTACTCAATAACGATATATGTGTATAGTTTGCTATGAAAAAAGATTAATGCAAGAGTTTAGTAATACAGTCCTATATTTCTGAATTTTATTCGTTCCAATTGTCCAATCTCGAAAGAACAGTGGTAGTAGATAAAACGGCAACAGCATGACTGATACTAGCCAATGTAAATTCAATCAGAGTTACCGTTTTAAATGGAACAACTATCAGAATCATCTGTCTGACGTCGTGCGGCAGCTTTTGGAGGAGGACTGTATGGTGGATGTCACTCTATCCGCAGATGGTCAACGTATTCATGCGCATCGCATTGTATTATGCGCGTGTAGTATTTTGTTTCAAGTAAATAATTTCTTACAAACGGAGGGGAGGGGAAGACATTTTTGTAATTTCATAAGACTCAAAAATTTTAATAATTAAACGATTGTAAATATAATTGTACATATATTGTAGTATATAATTGCTTTAGTAACAACAGTAACTACTATTCTTTGTTAAAACAATATTCTCTTCAAAATTTGTTTTCTATTTCTTTGTTATATGTGAGCAATATTGAGACAAATGCAACACAAATAATACTAATATATTATTTTGTGTAATATCTATACATAAAATAATTCTACGTACAATTTGCACAACATTATTGGAATATATTGTCGATAAATTTATTATTTATAATCATTGTATATAAAATATAACTATTTATATCAAAATAAATATTATGGCATTAATATCATATGTAATTTACAGGAAGTGTTGAGTCAAGTTACAGAAGATTATCCAACGATTATTCTAAGCGATATATCTCCTCAGGACATAAAATCAATTATTGAATTTATATATCATGGCGAAATTCGTGTCCCTGTTGAAAATATCAATAGTTTACTTGAAGCTGCACGATCGTTAAAAATAAATGGTCTTATTAATGTTAGTATCAAATTATTTATTTGTTTATATTAAATTTTTTGTTTCAGTTGATCAATTTTTAATTTGCTGTAGGACTTTATATTTAATAATTTGCAAATTTATAATCATTTTTTGTATTTTTAACAGATAGATGGAGTTGAAGAAAACGAAATTATTAGAGTAAAAAAAGAACGAGCAATGGAAAAAACTGTATCAAGGGTAGAGGAAATTCAGGATAATGTTGAATCTTTGGAGAATGAAACTCATGAACCAAGTACTACTGAAGATTGTATTTCAAATAAAAAGAAGAAACGACGCCGTGACACTGTAAAGAGAGATTATAGTGATGATATGTTAGCATCTGCAATTAATGATTTGAAATTAGGACAAACTTTAATAGAAGCTGCTACTAAGCATAATATACCACGTTCAACATTGTATATGCGGGCGAAAGCATTAGGCATACATTTAAATGCATCAAGAAATGGATATCCTGCAGAATGCATGAATGCAGCTATAAACGCCGTGATCAGTTAGTATTATTTTCATACGCTTGGTTTAATCTTCTTTTAGAATTTAATTCTGTATTTTTACATTAGAGATTATTCTAGTATTCATTATATATCTGCAATTATTCAATAATTACATTTAGATTATTTAATTATGCTAACTTTATTGTAGATGGTTCGAGCTTGCAGCATGCATCAGAAATATTTAGAATACCTAAAACCGTATTATGGAGACGTATACAAAAGGAGGGCTATCAGATTTTACGTCGTGAAATGAAAAGGTCTTATGCTTTAGACACAAAAGAGGCTGCTGTTAAAGCTTTAGAAAGAGGGGAAAATTTGACAAAAGTTGCTTTGGAGTTTAAAGTAAATTTTATTACAATTTTATTCATGTTGCTTTTGAATCTGTTTTGTTGTAAATAGATTTAACAGATTGTTAATTGAATGCAACTTAAGATGTCAATGATGTTTAGATACCAAAGACTACATTGTTCAGAGAAAAGGCACGGCTAGTAGATCAAGGTAAACTACCGTTATCGTTTTGGAAGAAGCGCAAAACTGAGAATGAGGAATCAAAGAAATCGCGATTAGAGGAAGCTGTAGCTGCTTGCAAAGGTGGTAAAATGTCACAGGCTGCAGCATCCATGATGTATCGCATTCCAAAAACCACGATATGGCGAAGACTTCAACAAGATGGGAAAAAAGCGGAAAAATCATCGAATGTGAAAAAGCAACAACTAACCGACATGCCAGTCTTGCACGACTCTCAAGCGAAAATACAAGACACCTCCAATTTCAGTTATTGCGAGGTAATATATTTGAATTTTATTTATCAAATCCTATCAATATAATTTCATTGCTAATGGATTTGTGGTATGCACATCAGAATGTGGTTACATCAGAAATACCTATAACTTATATAGACGAGGATAGTATACCTGAGGATTCTGTGATAATCTTAACAACGGAAGAAATGGATGAATTAAACTTGGAAGGAGGCAGACAAATTATTGTAAATTCGGTATGTAATATACGAATGATTTGTGATCATTTTTATGAATTCAAATGGCAAATTGATTAATTTTGCTTTCATTGCTATAATCCATCTTTATATTTTTTTAGGAATCCGGACAGGAATATATTCCATGTACAATAAGTATCGAGAATAATTCTAACTATACCGAGACTGAGAGTTAACGTCAGAAAGTAAATAAGTATTGGAAAGCTAATTAACTATGGATAGGAGATATAGAAAAAAAATCTCGATATTTTACATTGTAATGTATTATAAACAGAAATATCGCCTATCCGTATAATTAACCCTCAACTTCAGCAACGAGTTATTTGATTTCGAAAACTTCAAACAGTTGTATAATCTGTATATGAAGAGTAAACTTTCTAAATACATTTTGTCCAAAATTTGTAATTTTTAGAAAACGAGGAAAACAGAAACTACTCAAATACAAAAAAAACTATGCACTTTATAGAGAATATATCTCAATCAGAGTTACAATATGACGTATCAAATAAAATTGCTGTGAACAATTTTACATTTTGTTAAACAAACGCATTTTATTTGTCTCTAATTAAAAACATACATTCTCTCTCTCTCTCCCTCCCTCCCTCCCTCCCTCCCTCCCTCTCTCCCTCTCTCTCTCTCTCTCTCCCCCTCTCCCCTTCTAT